GCTATTCATTTTATGCTAGAGAAACCAGGATAAGCTCTGGCCTGATGGGCCACTTGGCTTGTATGCAGACTTTACCTCACCATTATTTATATATTATTTTGACTTTTGAATTATTCCAAGATTGATCAATATTACAATTAAATCATCTAGAGTGTTGTCATAACTGGTCTAATTTACATCAAACGTATAGAAGTTAGTGAGAAAATTTACAACATTTTGAGCATGAACTTACCAGAAACTGCCCATGTAGCTTCATCAACTTGATCAGGACTACCAGTGATGTCATACACAATAATATCACACTCCAGTAAATGAGGAAGGAGATCCTCTTTAGTTGTGTACTGCAGAAGAAAATAACTTTAAGTTGCAGTTTGTTTTCCTTTGGTTTTTGATTGTGAATGAGTGAAATTCAATATGAAAATAAACCAAGGGCAGTTCAAAAAACCTTAATTTGCTCTTGGCAGAATTTATAGCACAAAGGCTAGTGGGGCCAAGCAAACAGCTGAACAAATAATTCAAATTGAACAAAACTTTGTTAAGAATCCCAACTGGCCAGAGGCAAATCAGTTGGCTATTTACAAGCATGGGTGAGGATTTGAACTTGGGGCTACAGTGAAACAAATCCAGGTAGTGGTCAGAGGACCTTAAACCCAGGATCACTGAATTGAGAGTACAACGTGCTGACCACTCAGTCACTCTTCAATATGAAAATAAGCGAAGGGTACAACAACCTTTTGACGTCTTCAAAATGTTACTGTCAAGTTTGAGCATGAGCAACGGTCAAATCAAAATCAAAGGTATTTCAAAGTAAATGCATTCCAATTGAAAAGTACAATATAAAATATGTTACATGTAAAATTTTATATAAGGAAGTACATTCTTGCATCCAAGCATTCAGTAGAGCTCAACCATACTGATGGCATATGTCTACAGAGATCTGTGTCATGTCTTTTGTTGGCTGTTGCTTGAAAACAAAATTTCAAACCCATATAATGACCAGTCACAATCATGACAGGGTTCTCTTTGAAGTGCTTCTCTTAAAGACCCGGAGGATACTGCCTAATATGGGCTATATAGGTATGTGCGGCCCCAAAGGGTATGGTTTTTCAGCTGTTTTGGTCATAAATAGGGTATCGATTTTAGCTGATTTTGGCCATTTTGGTCATAAATAGGGTATGGTTTTTGCACTCGTGCCTTGATATGGGTATGTTTTTAAAAGGAAGCCACTTTTTCATCATTATGGAAAAGAAAATCAACAAAGGCCCTTCACAAATAATATTATGTTTACGGTAATTTAACATTGGTCTGAACTAGGGAACTAATTATAGCGCAGGTCTGAAACAGGGTTTTGATTTGAGGGCTATGTCACAAATAGGGTTTTGAATTTTTGGTTAGGTCATAAATTGGGTAGGGAATATTGCTGATTTTTGTCATAAATAGGGTAAGGGTTTTGGGAAGCGAGCCGCACACCTCTACCTGATTTTTCTGGGAATACCT